CAGGGTAACGTTATATCCCCGAAACTCTTCACCGCTGCATTGGAAGACGTTTTCAAGCTACTGGACTGGAAAGGATACGGTATTAACATCAATGGCGAGTACATCACTCACCTTCGATTTGCCGACGATATAGTCCTTATCGCAGAATCGCTGGAGGACTTAAGCACTATGCTCAATGACCTCAATAGTGCCTCCCAACAGATAGGTCTTAAGATGAACATGGACAAAACAAAGATTATGTTTAATGTCCATGTCACACCTATGCCGGTATTTGTTGGGAGCACTATGCTCGAAGTTGTTGACGAGTACGTTTACCTGGGACAAATAGTCCGACTAGGTAAGTCCAACTTCGATCGAGAGGTCAATCGACGGATTCAACTCGGCTGGGCAGCGTTCGGGAAATTACGACATATCTTCTCGTCAGGTATACCTCAATCTCTAAAAGCTAGATTGTACAACCAGTGCGTGTTGCCAGTGATGACTTACGGATCTGAGACGTGGCCCTTCACTGCTGGCCGTATGAGGACGCTCAAGGTCGCTCAGCGAGCTATGGAAGAGGGCTATGCTCGGAGTTTCTCTGCGTGGTAGACTCAGAAATGAGGATATCCGCAATAAAACCAGAGTGACCGACATAGCCCAACGGATTAGTAAGCTGAAGTGGCAATGGGCCGGCCATATAGCTCGAAGAACCGATAACCGATGGGGAAGAAAGGTTCTCGAGTGGCAGCCTCGTACCGGTAGGCGTAGTGTAGGGCGACTAGATGGAGTGACGACCTGGTAAGATATGCAGGAAGTCGATGGATGCAGGTGGCTCAGGACCGTACTTTGTGGCATTACTTGAGGGAGGCCTATGTTCAGCAGTGGAATTGTGAAGGGCTGTAATGATGATGATGAAAAAATTAGTAGGTTCAGTGGTCTTTGAGATTATGTTTTAATTATGAGAATGAAGTAGCAAACGAACATATAGTCCACCTGATAAGTGGGTATAGTATCGCATCGACAGTTGCAACAATCAACTTCGAAAAATGAAGGCTACAGATTTGTTGTCACCTCTGAGAACTAAGATGGAATGCCTCAAAGTCTATAATAATATAGTGGCTCTCTGGTAGTGGCGGTGTACGAATATCCACTAGCCACATCTTGGCGAGGGTGTAAGAGGTAAGAGTAAGAGGCGACAGAGGGAAATCGAAACACAAGATGGCAGCAGCATCTTCCTGAGAACAACTCAAAATAGTAAAATTTAACTGTGGTTGACAGCCCGTCTGCCAAGTTAAAATGGATGTATAGCTCTCTTACTCTCTATACCCTTCAAACCAGAGCACAGCACTGTATGCCTTGGTATTGAAAATAAAAATAGGTAAGAGGGTGATATAAAATTAAATGAATGAAAAAATCATTTCATTTCATTCGCTTGGAGGTAGAAATAGGTAAGAGAGTGATAACCTAACCAGACCAACTCTAGACACAAAAGGAGTTCCACCAACTAGAAGTTTACTTAATACTTCGCTTTAATGATTACAATATAGAAAACTAATTTTTTTTTCTCAATTAATAGACTGAAGTTCAAATTTAACGCGATATCTAGGGCTTATTAATGTGTTAATTTCAGCGAATTTAGCGCTTGATTCGCTGTTAGCGCTGAATGGGTTTTTTCTACTGGTAACAGTGGTAGCACGACTGCGTCGCTTACACTTACTGTACACCTGTGTAATTTCCACCGCTCAAAGGGATTGTACAAAGGGGTAGTGATTGTTCCCATGTCTGATATATTGCATACATTTATTCAACCTTATCGCGTGTTTCATCGAATACATACAAAACAGGGTAGAATTAACACAACTATTAATTAATAATTGTACATAATAAAATTTAAATTTAGTACGTTTGGTAATGTCTTTATGCTTGGTAGATTTACTTTAAGTTGAATTATATGGAGTTAGATTACATCGGAATAGAATATTCTACTTTTACCTTTACCCCATATAAATGGGAATCTCGTATATATACCCCCCAAATATTTTACTGTTTAGCCGACAATCGACATAGGTATAGGTGACGCTGTAACCGCGTAACTACATAATATGACGCGTATCAAAAGACCTTAATCATGACGAACGAAACCTTAATCATGCTATCCAATTTCCATACTTTTTTATAAAACTGTAGCTACAAAGAAACTTTCAATCCACCTGGTGGAAGTGGCTCCTGCAGTCCATGGGTATCCATAGCCAACTTCAAAGAAAGAAAGCTACAGGTGCTTTGTCACCTGATGATTAAGATGGAATGGCTCACAGCCTGGCTCATTAAAATAGTCCAGCCTTTAGTAATGTTTAGAGATGGGCCGAAAATGGATTCCACTGAATACGAATATTCGGCCGAACATTATTCGACAGGATCACCTCGATACCTAACCAATTTATGTCGAAACTTGTTACCGTAAAGCGAGCGAGATTCGCGCCGGACCCTTCCCTCCCCCTCGCTCACCCGCCACCTCTGACATGTTATTACATCATCTAGTACTGAGAAAATTGCCCGCACATGCTCAAGTTTTGACTATTTTTGTGAGAAAAAAGTATTTCATTGTGTTATTCTAAGTGTAAATTGATAATTAGTAATGTTTCTTTGTTTAATTCCAAAAACATTTCATCAAGTTTTCTATTTGTTATAATTGGAAATAAATCTACAGTGCTATACAAGTAGATTTTAACCCATAAATAAAATATACTTTCAACAGTAAAATTATGAAAAGCATGGCATTACTCAATTCGTACATTACAATAGAATAATAATAATCCACTTTGAGTACCACTTATCGAATGTTCGTTGATTTAGCCGAATACAAATAATTGGTAAAGCTGCCGAATACGAAACGAATATTCGGCCCTTTTCTAGTAATGTTACAATTTAAAAGTTCTTTTTTATTCAAATTTGGAATGTGTTTATAATTAAGAAACTTCGACCGATTTGCTGCCATTTCACATAGGTATTATTTTTCTCCTTAACTGTTATGTTACATTATGGAGTAAGCGTTAAAGAAAACAGAACTGCAGAGATTACTTTGGGGAAATCATTAATTACGTAAGAATGATTTAGGCGATTTTTGACAACCACTACCCCTCGAAATTCCACGCACTCTAAGATTCTATCTCGTTTTTCATAATAATAAAATGTTAGAAAAGGACCAGTTACATTAAAAAACTCACAGGCAGCACCCGACCTCTCACGACGTGTCCGCGGACGTTAATATAGAGTGGGGTTAAAGGCGCCAGTTTTTGAACAGCATGGAAACTACACGGGATTCTTAAAGTTATGAAATCATGTTAGTTTGAGCAAAATAATATGCCTTTGTGATCGGAATTATATTTGAAAAAAAATTATGGCCCCTTTTCACAAAATTGTATGAAAACATTTCAAAAACTGGGCATCGGCCATATTTTTGTATATTGTACTATCGACAAGTAGGTTAGTAATAAACAATAAAGGCGACCTCATACTGTTATGAAAAGATGGGCTGTAAGCACTGTTATATTCAACACTGCCTTGTTGGTCTAGTGTTTGTAGTAGTGCGACTACTGATCATGAGGTCCTGAGTTCGAATCCCGGGTCGGGCCAAAAAATCAATTATTGAGTTTTTCTGTCAAGAAATTCTCAGTAGCTGCCCGGAGTCAGGAAGTTGGCGGTGTTTCACCCCCGTGCCTCGGAAAGCACGTAAAGCCGTTGGTCCTGCGCCTGATCTCTCTCCAGTCGTGTCGGTTTACCGTCCCATCGGGTTATGAGAGTGAGGGAATAGAGAGTGCACCCGTGCTTGCGCATACGCTTGCGCACAATAATCATGTCCTGCGCTGATGGCTAACCTCCGTTGAGGCAGGCCGCCCTGGCTGAATTTTGGTCTGGAGGACATTATTATCAGCCATTCAACAAAACCCTATAAAGAAGTCTAGGAGTACCATATTATATACAAATAACACCTACTATTTTTAGTTTAATTTAAATATCTTTTGTTTGCTTTTGGTCTATTGTTTTAAATATTTTAAAACTTTTCTTTAGTTGTGTGTTTTTTCTTTATGTGTTTATGTCTGCCCAGTTGTTGTGGAATTTTGCTTGTTAACTTTTAAAAAAGAGTTATTATACTCAAGAAGTATTTATGTAATCTATATAGAAAAAAAAGTTCTGTTCTGTGATCTCGACAGTGCTATGGTTCCTTCCAGATTGTCACTGTGTCGTGATCCTTTTTGTCATCACACAACTGTTAATTACTTTTAATATGTACTATTTTGCATGTTTCACAGTGATGTATGTTTGTCAAATAAATATGTTTATTTCTTTCTATATTTGAATAAATTATGAAATATCAAAACACCATTATTTCAATATTCTATCCTTGAAATATTGATTACAGAGATAAATAATAGGTGAGGTATTACAAAGTAACATACATCATTGCGGCTTAACCTTGGAGTCAAGTCATAGGTAAAATTTTTTATTGGTCTGCAGGTAATAACTTCAGACAAAATTAAAAATGTCTGCTTATGTATAGAAAAAAGTCCCGAATTTCGTTCACGACGGCCAGTCTCAACTGAAAGTAACCATCTGCGCAGGACAGGACTATAGTGTCAGACTGTATGTGCAAGCACAGGTGCACTCTCTATTTGCTCACTCTCATAGTCCGATGGTATGGTAATTTGACGAGACTTGAGAGAGATCAGGCGCAGCATCAACGGCTTACGTGTTTTCCGAGAAAAGGGGGTGAAACACTGCTTAATTTCAAACTACGGGCTGCTACTGACAATTTTTTGACAGAAAAACCCAAAAACTGATTTTGGCCTGACCTGGGATTCAACCACTAGACAAACGTGGCAGTCGAAGTAACGGAGTGACGACCTATTGAAACATGGAGGATGTCCATGGGATCAGGTGATCACCCAACCAAAGTTAAAATGACTAAATTAGGCAGTATTAAATAAAACACTGAAAATGCATAAAATTTGTAAAAATCTTACCATATCCAGGTTATTGAACAGCATATTGAGATTGTTAAAATTACTTAAACCGTCCATCTTTGGAGCTATAGGTCGAGGTGCATTCATCATGTTTGGGTTCAAAATAGACTTCATCCTCCTTCCCCGTCTTGGTGTGATTTCTGGATTTCTCTGTCTATAATCAGCTATTATAGACTTTACATCTTTAGTTGGCCCTTGGCGACCCATTGGCATACCAAAACTGTTTGGCAACTGCCCATTCATATCTCTTGGGAACCCAGGCATAGGACCTGGTAACATCAATGGTTGTGGAAATACTGGCTTTGGCATACTTTGCATGTGAGTGGCTTTATCATATGGTGGTGGTAAACCTGACATATGATTGAAATGTGTTGTAACAGGCATTACTGGTGGTTGTAGAATTGGGTTCACCATTGCAGAACTTGGCTGTTTTATTGCTAATCCTGAGATTTCGTCGCTCTTGTCTATAGCTAGATTTTTTGCTTGATTTAAATACTCAAAGGGATCAGTTCTTTCTGCACCATTAACATCTGCCGATTTCTCAAAAGACAAAACCTGTTTACGCCTTAGAAGCCTTAATAGGATTTCTTCTTTTACTTTTTTTAGATGTAATATATTATTCCATTCATGTTCTTTCTTTTGAGCTAGCTCCCGTAATGTTTGTATTTCAGATAGCAATTGTTCTGTATGCCTTTGTATTTCATCAACATTGTTTTTTGTAGCTGTCTGAATGTAGTCATTCACCATAATGTCATGCTGTGGAAAAGTCTTTTCTACCTCTTGGCAAAGTTTTTTAAGTGGAGACTCTGTATCTACTTCATCACTTAATCTCCTTTTCGCTGCTTGCTCTTCCTGGGGAATAGATACAAAATAAATGTATATGTAAGAGTACGTAAAATGGACAATGTAGATTATCTCAATAACAGACAATCTAAAATAGTTTATGTTTAATCACACATTGTCACCCCTAAGGACTAGTTTCTAGTAAAAGGAGGCTCTGATTCTCATCATGCATATTGTCCCTTTTGGATGGTTTGTGCCAAACTTTTACAGCTTCATTGGGCTCTGAGTTCGCAATGATAATCGATGATGATGATGATGGCAATTTTATTTCAGATTCTAAGAACATCTCGAGCTTTAACACAAACTGTTATGTATTATTAGATGAGCTGCATGTTCGTTTGCCTCTTCTTACTTTAAAAAAAATTCAGAAAGTAATAATTTGTGTTACTTAATAATATATTGTTTAAATTTAAATTTTGATATTCTGGAGTTTAAATTTCTGCCACAGACCTAGAAATTTATAAAGGTAACAAATAGTACCCCAACATCTAGATCTTTCCTAGATTATGAAACAAAATGCAGATGCGTTGATACCCGTTAAGACTAAGGTGGAATGCCTCATTTCCAGTAAAAAGAGTCTCCAGTTCTCTAGACCCATCATACAAAACACAGCAGTATTAAGCTGTTATTTTATTCTGGTATTCTATGAGAGTATCATCCTTTCCCAGTCGAGCCAACCCATTTGTGTTGCAAGCGTAATATAGCTACAGTGTGGCTCTACTGAACAGCAGATATTAATTTATTTATCCATTATGCATTACAGATTCATTTCCTTAGTCCTTGAAATATCATAATCCTTTTATCAGTCAAAGTAGCCTATAAGTAGGAGTATGGACTAAGAAATTTAAACTTTGTGGTGATTGTGGATTGGATCTACTAATTAACTATTGTTGTGAACCGCTCCAAGCACGAGCATTTTAAACTTAACCGCAGTGTATTAACGGAATATCAGTTGCATTAATGTCACTGCTATATTTTTTTTATTTATTGATAATGATATCACAATTTACAATTTAAAAAAATTGTGAAAGAGAGAGATTTTAAAATTTAGGACCATAAAATAAAATAAAGGTCTGGCATATAAAGATATTGTTGAAAATGAGAAAGATAAACAGTAGACGAGACAATTTATACAGTATTACCATGATTCTGTCTTAACCAAAGTGCATCAATTTCAATTGTAAGATTTCTAATGTAGAGAAAACCTGGGCTAGGACATAAGAACTCATTATGAGTTGCTAGCTCTGTTAAGTTTTTGGAAAGTATAAGGTAACTAAATGTCTAATGGAACACTGATTACATTGCCATTATATTTTAATATATTCAAGAAAATAGCAACTATGATAATGATCAGATGATGTATTATTTATAAATATTTATTGATAATGATCACTATAAGAACATATAATAAAAGACACATCTTAGTATAAGCATGTTATTTAATTAATATATATATATATACAGTTGGAAATGGGTATAAAGGATATTAAAGGAGCCATCCAATAACAAGTAAATAATAATGTAATTTAGGTATTTGTTTAAATAGTGAGGCCATTTATTTGAGCAAATAAAAATAATTTGAATTAGTGTTTATGTGGGACCTCAGCACCTAGCCATTTTGCTGGAACTTGCCAATCCATTATTCTACGTGATGTTGGTATATCCGGTTACAACTGTATATAATAGCATAACCTCATATTATATAAAGTACCTTAATAACATCTCCATTTATTGATGGTGTGTTTATTTTAGCTTCAGTTTTCTCAATCTTTTCATCCAATTTTACAACCTCAGTCATTTCCACATCAATGTCAGTCTGCTGAGCTTTCACTTCCTCTACTTCTACTGAAGTAATTTCCTTTATTGGACTGTTCTCCTTAACCTTAGATATAGTAAAGGAATCTTTTACTTCTTGGGGTAGCTGGTTAATCTCACTAGACACTGTGATTGAATTATCAGGAGCTGGCTCAGATGGTTTTGCCTCGTCAATAATGACTGCCTCTGTCACATTTTTATCATCTATCAAATTTATAGGACTATCCTCTTTTAATAAAACTTCTGAAAAAATCATAATATGTATAAAGATATGGTAAAGTTTGATTTGGGGAGTAAGTAACAAAAAGAGCAGACTAATAATAAATTCCAATACAGTGCAATACATTGCCCGTCATTTACTCAGTTTTAATGAAGAGCATAAAAATGTAAAAGCATTGAAAAATACAAGAGTAAAACAATTAAACACTGTAATATATATAATATTTTATGTAGGACAGAAGATATTAATTATGTATCACTAAGATTAATTCCTTAGTCCTTGAAATATCATAATCCTTTTATCAGTCAAAGTAGCCTATGAGTAGGAGTATGGACTAAGAAATTTAAATTTTTTAGTGATTGAGGATTGGATCTACTAATTACCTATTGTTGTGAACCGCTCCAAGCACAAGCATTTTAAACTTAACAGCAGTGTATTAATGGAATATCAGTTGCATTAATGGCACTGCTGCATTTTTTTTAATTATTAATAATGACATCACAATTTACAATTTAAAAAAATTGTGAAAGAGAGAGATTTTAAAATTTAAGCTCATAAAATGAAATTAAATATTGCTCTCATAACTTTAACCTGAATATTATTTGTATATATAAAACAATCTAGTTATGCAGTCTGGAAATAGGGGTAAAATCATAACAACCAGTTTATTCAAAATTGTCCTGACAAAGCTTTTGATATTAGATTACTCGTAAACATGATAATTGCAAGTAGCCATAATTTTACAATAACATGTTGATTACAAATTGTGCTGATTAAGCTTTTGATATTAGATTTCTGAAGAAGACTCTGACTCCACTGTAAAATTGTTATTGCTGGCCAAACCAAGGTGTCATACTTTCAGTCAACAAACTTGTTTTTACCATCCTATAAAAGCGATTGCATTTACAATAGGATTCATTACAGTCTTCTACAAAGTAATGTGATCGCCTAGTTAAGGAAGTCAGTATTGTACTGAATTAGTATTAATTCATTATTGTAATGAAATACAATTCTCTCTTGCTAATCGGCAGCTCGATTATACGACAATTACTATAATACACTGCTTTTGGACTGGAGACTGGTCTTGATTAAACTCTGTAATCCGTGGACATTGAAAGTCTTTGACTCGATAATTCACTGTCTTACCTCTCTTTCGTGCGTAAGACAAACAGAATTCTATACTCCGCCGCACGGTGCTAAGTAAGCACCCTATAGTCCGGTTGGACATAAGAGTGTTAGTTAGCTGGAATGGTTTCATCAGACAAAGAAGCCCTGAATAGCATAGATATTTGTATTAAATGGGCCCAATAAAATGGAAAATCATGCCATATGGTTTACATAAAATATGCGATAATGTTATCAAGAAGATATATTTTAGTAAATAATAAGCAAAATTAGACCCATTTTTTCCAAATATGAGTAATTAATTTAATAAAAGATTCAATTTGTTGATTTCTTAAATACATAAATAGATATAAACAAATCATACATTTTTTTTTCAATCATTTGTTGTTCCTGTACATTATAATCCACCATTTTTAGTAATTCACCGATGGTTGTGAATTTATGGTGACGGATTAACCAGAGAGTACTGTAGTAATAAAATTCATTACGACATATTTTGTTGTTTTTAGAAAACTTCAGGACCTCTCCCGAAACTTAACTATCTTAATCTTACCACTATTTATAAATAATTTTGTTTTTAAAACTGCAGTAACAAATAAATTTAGAGTCCACGTGATGATAAATAGCAAATGCAGGCCATGGACACCTACAGCCCACTTTAAACATAAAAGGCTACAGCTTGTTACATCTAAGGACTAATTATCTTATTCATAAACATTTTAAAACACTTGTTTTGTCATTATATTTTTATGAATAAGCAGGTAAGAGTGTTACCACACCAATTGATTTATTGTCGATCAATACCATTGATCAACAATCTATCAAGACACACTTATACAAAATTATGTATACTATCCCGCTTTCACAATAATATTGCATTGGTTTATCCATGTTTTACCCATTTATAAGTTACCTTTTAATGCAAGTGGTATTGTTATAATTAGGGAAACTAACTTAACCTCTACCAAATACAACAGCTTACTCCCCCAAACTCCTACCAAACAATTGTAAATCCAACCCTAAATATTCAATGAATAACTGTTGAATTCTACAAATTTAACCATGTACCGCATGATGAATGACAATAAGGGAAAGGAGAATAAAGGCAATATGAGAAAATAATTAAAGAACGAGTTAAAATTGGAGAAGCAATATTGTTATACCTTTTATCTTCTCTGATTGTGAAGTGTCATTATCATTAGTCTGGCTTTCACTTATATTATCTTCTTTGGCATATTCATCACAGCTTTCCGGCTTTTCCTCTATTCCAACATTATCCTCTACATTCAAGGGATCTTTTGCAATGCCTGCTTCGGAGTCATCTATAGACAAGGGATCGACTTCATTGTTGACACCAATTTCTGGCGCAGGAGAAACCCCCGATAAATCCTTCGGAGATTCTGCTATTTTAACGCCTATATCATTCATGATTATTTACATATTTTCGTCACAAAGTCACAGTGTCAGCATGCCGCACGTAGGTTCATTGACTCTCTCAGCAACATAACCATAGCACTAAACTTAGATTTATATTTTTTACAACACACATTCATAAGTTTGCGCATAAGTATGTTTGAACTATTAAACACATTTACGCTTTATTTTAATAAGTATATTACTTCTTAATGTTCTATTGAATAATTTCACAATGCGCAAGTAAAACAAGCCGTGAACTTATGGGTCAAACGACTTATTTAGTTACAGTAATAATTCTCAACGAATGAGACAAAACGTTGCAGTTACCATTAGATTTTTAATTTAATTATTAGTTTAAGGCTGAACTGTACAGATTATTTGACTTTTATTAGAACAAAATAAAGCTACGAAGGACGCAAAGCAAATTACACGCAATCTACAGATAAAAATCTAACACCACAGACACAGACCAACACCACACCACAGACCATGGAGGTTTCTCTAACCTCCGTGCCACAGACAGTTAAAATAAACAGATAATAAAAAGGCTTGATTCATTTTTTTTATTTGTCGGGAAAATTACTTTTACAATCTATCTGCACACACTATAACATAGTACTTACTGGAAAAAGAAACTATCAAATTTATACTATTATTCAACATGCTACGGAATTAAAACGTAAAAAAAGTATCGATTATTATTTTAAGAGTAATAGAGAGGGGTAAGTACAGTAATAATGTTAAGTACATGGACACACACAAATACAACTTTGTAGCCAAATTGAGAAAGAATTAAGTTTCACGATTGCATGATATTTCCGCTTAGTGGCTCAAGTTGGAGGTGGGCAAAGTGTATCATTTTTGCGATAGGAACATTTGCATCTCGATGACTGATATGTTCCGAAACACTGATATGTTTCATTTGAATCATCGACTCAAAAGATATAAAATTCCGAATGTTACGAATATATTAAGTTGCGTCGTGGGCATTTATTACTGACTGATTCGGTGAAATGTTATGTGGCAACAATGCTGAATGATATAAGTAAGTGTTTAGTTTATTTTTATTATATATAATATGTTTAGTATTTTTTATTGTTATTTATTTTGTATCATAATAAGGTTGTATATAAAATCAATCCTCTTTCATACGTTAACTAGGCTTATGACTGGCGCCAATTTCTTAATTTATGGCCAGCTGGCGTATTATTTATGATGAAAAGAAAGAAAGTAAGTCACAATAATCATTAATTACTATGCAAATAAATCCTACACAGAATTTTCGTAAACAGGCGCGAACGAATATAAACAATTTGACAAGTGCCGGATCAACGTAAAATGACAACTTGTTTACGTAAACATTATATGCAAAAAACGACCGTATAGTATTTGATACGTAAGCGCTTTAGTAGTCATTTTTACGTGCAGGAATAACTATAGCAAAAATCCGTACGAGTTGAGTAATACACTTTTCATTTGTTATCTCCTACGAGCACTTAAACCTATAGAGACGTAATACAAGGCGACCCGAACCTGTCAACTCGTCAGTGACTAGTCACTGATATATTTCCGAACACTTTTGCTTCCCTCCAGTTGCGACCAAAAACTAGAACCGAAGAGACGGCTTACATTTAAAATATAAATTAAAATCAATTTACGGCATCATGTCTTGTTGTGCCTTTAAATGGTGCGGAAACAACAGTAAAACATGTAGTATAACAACAAACAATATTACTTTTCATCGGTAAGTACATTTCTTTATTTAACCAAAATATTTTCAACATTCTTACTACGCAACGATGGTCAAGTTAAACTGGACGGTTCCGCCACGCGTCACTCCCCGTCCTTTTTGCATTTACTGCAAACATGTATGTCTGTCTCTCCTTATCATAATGACTAGTGCAGTGCGGTATATTTATTTCGTATTGTCGATAATTATCCACAAAATGATTATTGTATTTAGATATCGTTGTTTTGGATATATTAGATATAGACAGATACATAATTTATTAATATTAATTATATATATATATATATATATATATATATATATATATATATATATATATGTGTGTATGTGTGTGTGTGTGTGTGTGTAGTTTTATATTAAAGTATTACTAAGAGTAGTAGATTATTATTTACTACTCTTAGTAATACTTTATAATATTAATTATAATTATTCTTTTCGTGTATGCGCTTTTGATAAGTACGATAACAATGTTATTTTATTTCAACTGTATGATTTTTTCCCTATAGGTTTCCAAAAGATGGTAATATGAAAAACAAATCGTTAAACGTTACAAAAAGAGAAAATTGGTTTCCATCAAAATATTGCGTCATGTGCTCACAACTTTTTACTGAGGATTGTTTTTTGATGACAAACTAGAAGCGGCACCTAATGAGAAGTGCAGTACTTACGCTGTTTTTGCCTCAGATGCAATACCTGTATAAAGGCTTTAGTGTCATTAAAATAAAATAAAAAGTCTCATATTCTACAAAGATAATGGAGGGTTAATTTATTCCTCACAAATAGTCGTTAAAATATGTCGGCGTTGCGAGTCCGTAATCAAGAAAAATATAATTAATAGAGACTCTAAAGGAAAAATCACCGCTGAACTGTTGACCCATAAAGCTCTTAGCAGCTTTACAGAAGAACAATTATTCACGGAGTATACACATCATCAATTTTACGCCGAAGAAACCAATCATATTATGATTTAACGAAAAGTGTAATGAAGAAATATATTGACACAAGAATGACATTTATACTTAAAAATCAAAAATTGGAAGGAAAATGTGCAGTTAGGAGAATATATACAAAATTAATTCATTTTAAAAATCAATAATAGCACTTAATAAAATAAATATAATAAATAAACATAAAAATCTTTTTTATTCTCTTTTCAATCTCTCCGTAGTGCCTCGACCTTGAGCCGAACTATCTTGCGTATCTCCTACGGGGCCTTTTTTATAGGTTAGGGTAACAAACGAGCATACAGTACACATGATGGTAAGTGGTTGCTGTGGCCCATAGACATCTACATCTATCCTCGATTACGAATCTAAATGTAGATGTGTTGTCACCCATGGGGAATGGAATGCCTCGTTTTCAGTAAAATGGGTCGCCGGTTCTCTACACTTACCATACGAAACACAGCATAAAGCTACTATTTGTGCTTGTATTCTGTGAGAGCGTGGTCTTTCCCCGGTCGAGCTGACCCATTCATGGTACAACTATACTACTAATATAACTGCAGCATGGCTCTACCAAGTATTAAATATTTTAATGTTTTATGTTAAAGTAATTTTATTTTAAAGTTCAACAAATCACTAAAAGTTTATTTTAAACTCTTTTAATTGAATCTTGATTTTTTTTTCGAAGTTGGCATTTATATTTTACCTGAGTACACTGCTTGAAAAGTTAGTACATTTAAAATTGCATTTCTTAGTTGCACAGGAAAATTGAAGTCACAGTCAAAAGCTAGTTACTGATACTGAAAGTATGTATTAAAAAAAGCGAAAAAAATTTATCAATATCGATAGAAAGCATAAATTCATTACAATGCACGCCCTAGCGATCGTGTTCGGAATCTCTTCGGAATAGTTCGGAGTACTTCGCAGCGATCACAACTCCCCCCGCACCGCAACTAGTTGACAAAATTGTTTTCTTTTAAATTCGAATATATTACTTCTCTATAGGGTTAAGTGCTCGTAGGTTATCTCTTTCTGACTTGTATAGATTGTTTTTATTTCACCCGCTCGCTCGCCACTCTCACTCTCTCTCTCGCGGCTCAGACGCCTCGCGGGAGAGACGCGTCGCGCTATAATAAATGAGCACAGAGTAAAGTAATGTTCCAGATCCAAATGATGCATTCAAAACGTTGTTATTGAACCAATCTTTTGAATCACTCCAGTGACTCGGATCAGTGAGGCGGTTCCGTAAAGGGTTACACACGCCTAGCTCAAGTGCCGATCGAATTTACATTTAGGGTCCGTGATCACCACAATTTTACGCCCACTAATATAAACTCACAGCTGTCGGGTGAAGTCTAACCAACTTAATAAGTTTAAGCGCGAGGATTGTAAATATTGACGAATCTATGAAAACCTCAATTTTGTACCGTTGTCTGTTGGTTGTCGAAAAAATCGGTGTATGTATAAAGTGCATTAATGAAAACTAAAACCAAAATTTTGGTTTTAGTGAAACTATGATGTGAAATATGTAATTAAAAATTAATTCTTATTAAAATAATATTTATTTCTATAAAGTCTTAAAAGCTCAATTACAGACGTTAGCATATTTAATTGTAGTTTATCTTTTTACATTAAATTTTAAATTATGTTCATTAATTTTTTTTAAATCATAAAATCACTACATAAACCGGTATCAAAGTAACTTCCGAATTTTACTAGAATTTCATACTGGTAACAATTTGAATTTTTACAGCTCTAGTGAGGAAGGATGATGAAATGAAATGAAAAAGCAAATGGCTGACTAGCAATTGAATCGACGTTTTTGAATTCCCAAAATATAATCTGATGTAATTACATGAATTATGCACTCCTTATGATTATGAATAGCAAAATAGGGCTACATAAGCAATAAAGCAACTAAATACTTCTATATTATCTGGATAAATCCAGTCTTAACGTACGAAATAAGAACCTTATCTAAGCAATATAGATTTTCGTTCAATTACAAATTACAGTGATCGAGGCGGACTCACGTCCGTTTCTTCTTCAGGTAAGTTATTCAACTTTTAATAAATTGTATTCTTTTACGAATCTATATTATTTTGGTTAGAAACGACCTTGGAAATTTTATTTGATTATTGACCCGTGTTTGTGATTAATTTTTAGACTGCATAATTCTGCTCCCTTTGTGAGATTTTTTTATTGGTATTTTTGAATTTAAATAAATACTGTATTTTTTGGGTCTTGAAATGATCATCAGTACCTATAAAAAAATTCCGCTCCATGAATCAATCATTTCGGGTGGTAGTCATAGTTTC